TGTATCTCTGTTCTACCGAAAACCTACATTTTGTTTTGTGTTGTTTTAAACCCTAATCCATCGTAATATACATATATATAGGTTTAAACATTAAACCCTAATCCATATATAACTGGGCCCCTATGTAAACCTAGGTTACAATCAATGACGGCTACCTATGAAAACTATAAACCCAATGAAAAGCTATATAACAGTCACGTTGAGAACTAACTAAATTTAACTAAATCCAGTCATTTAAACCAATTAATTTTAAAACAATTAAAGTATTAAATCCCACAAAATTAATCCAATTAAAATAATTAAATAAAACAATTAAATCTATAATTACGACAATTAATTAGAACAGAACAATTAATTAATTAACTTAAACAATGAATGCAATTAAAAATAATTACACAAATAATCAAGTAAACTGACATAACATTCAAACAAAACAAGTAATTCCAACGAATTAAGCAATTAAACAGATAACCATTAAAAATTGCACTTAAATAATTAATGAAATTACAGGACTATCATTTGTAAAATTAGGGGTATTACAATTTGCCCCAGATGCTCGAGCCCGGTAGCCAGTGCTCGTGCCTATGAAGCTTGGATCGAGCAATGTTAATGAAGTTCAACCCCGAAAATATTCAGTGTTAAAGACAAAGACGTTTCAGAAAATAGTTGAAGAAAATTAGCTAAGTGTCAATGTGATGATCAAGCACCATTTACTGAAGCTCGAGCATCTATCCAGAAAAGCTCTAGCATTGTTCCTTATGCTTGAGTATGAGCCCTAAAGCTCAAACATCCGTTCCTGAAGCTCGAGCCTTCCATGACATGTCACATTTAAAGTACGGGATTGTTCTCTTTATCAGCTGTATCTCATCCCAGTTGGGCCGAAAGACCTAAAGCCCACCAAATATTATTTTCTTCTATAAAAGAAGGCGCAAGCCTTGATAGAAGGGGTCCAAAATTTCAATCTCTTTTACGGCGTTATTCAGAAGGCTGAAGGTGTGGTGGCTTTTAGGGTTCCTATAACCTTAGAAATGCAGATCCTGAGAAGAAAAGTGCAGTCCGTGATGATGGAGATAAACTCAACACAGATGCTATCCAGTCTTGCCATGAGTAGCTAAACCCTTTCTTAGGGCACTGATGTAACCCAACCTACTATTACGGTTTGATTGTTTTAACTCTGGGATTAATTTTAATAGATGTATTTTCTTGATTATATGACTATGAGCACTTGAGACAACTCAAGTGGCTCTCATGCTTTAGTAGATTATAAACTATTACTACCTTGTCTTGGATGTAATAGTTTGTTCTCTATTCTCAACCTACTTTGTTGTACGGTATCTGGCGGAGCCCTGCCGGACACAAGAATAGAGGTCATATAATGGTACGTTAATGTTTTTTTACAAAAGAATGTTTTCATAATCTACACTTAGGAAAGGTGGTTCATTCGCAAAGTAGTTAAAATAGGTAGATAAGGTAGGTGGATAGTCCATGCTAACCGCAGATAGGTTATAGTTAGCTAATCTTGTAAAACATCTTTCTTTAAAACCCGAATTGAACGAATGTTATTGAGTTCAATTCTTTTAGAAAATATCATTGTTAAATTCCCAGAGTTAGTATAATTAACTATAATATGATGATTGTGGTGAAGTCAAAGCCCTAAGACTTTCTCTCTCTATCATTTAAATTAGTTTAATTCGTGCTATTTAAATACTGCATTATAATTTTAGTTTGTTAAATCGTGACAACCAACAATTTTCCCAACCAGTTACCTGTAAACCAATAAAACTAAATTGAAAACTGAGTACCAATCTGATCTCCCTGTGGGTTAGACATCCTCTCTACGTAGAACTATCCTACACGATATCGTTCGATTACGAGAGACACATCACTTGTCATAGAGCAATAAGACAGTAAAAACCAACCTTATTGATTATGTACACAAATAGTATATATATATATATATATGCTTAGTTGATTGTTATATTATATAAATAATCTGTTAATAATAAAAACGTTATAATTGATCAAACAATATATGATTCATTAGGGATAACTAAAATATTATCCATTAAAGATCAATATATAAATGAATTGTCTGAGTAAACATCACCCGCAATATACGCACATTGATATATATATATAAATATATATGATAAGGTGAGTCTTTATGTTAGCCACTTAAATTACTTTATATATCACATATGAAACGTATACATATATAATTTATGCCCAGTAAAAATAACTCTACTTATACATGCTTCATACAATTATATGGACAATGCACTAAACACATTAATACGGAGTGAATCCCATATATATCTATAACAACTATAACATAAAGTTGGATTTAATTTATTTTCGTGGGAAAGAAAAATGGGATTTAAATTTGAAGGTTTAATTTGTCCATTTTGGGAGATAGAACTACAATGGTTTAGGTCATTAATGGCATATTACTTTTGTCACCATCACCAATCAAACAAGGCTACTAAATTCATGAACACTAGTTGCACTTTCAACTCTTCTTGACCAATCACTCCATTTCTGTCTTTCTCTCAACTATACATATACATCCCCTCATAACAATATAATAATATATACATAAATCTATTTGTGCGAGAATAAGAATTGATTCAATATCAACAAATCTTTCAAATTATGAAAATTTGGTGAATCCAATATGTAAAGATAAAAGCACAATTATTGATATAATTTATCTTAATATATACTATCAATTGCTGTTATTAATGAGAAGCAATTAATACCTGATGGAGTAATGGTAATCCATATTGAAGAAGTTTCATGATCAACCATGGCACTAAGTACCTTTGACCTCTATTATCTTTACTCTATTTCCGATCTCTGTTGACCTCTCTCGTCTCTACTCTATCGGCTATTCTTTAAGGTAAGGAAGAGAATAAAAAATTTTCTATTGTGTTTAGAGAAGCAAACAAACCCAATAATTTATCAAAATTATTTAGGAACAAAAAAAATTATCAAAATTAATATTACAAGTGAGATATATGAGTTGATATAAAGAGAGGGAATGAGAGCTTCTCTTTCAAATCTCAGTTGGTTATAGACTTGTACTAATAACGTGTTATGAATCTGTTGTGAATCTAAAAGAAAATATAGAACATAAAATTATATCTTCAATATTGAGAGAATAATGGAGAGAAGGGAGAGAGATCTTATTACTTTATCTTAAATCCAAGTACATCGATATAACAATGAACAATCCATATTTATAGCCAAACTTTAGTCAACATCCTTAATGCACCGTTAACCAAGTGCATTTAACTCTTATTTATTGCACTGCATTTAACTCTTATTTATTGCACCATTAATTCAATACTAGTGGACACCATATATATATATATATATATATATATATATATATATATATATATAACATTTAGGATAAATTTTGTTAAGTAATTTAAGCATGGACAAAAAATTTATCATCATAATAACAAAAATATTGTTAAAATTTAAAATTATTATAAAAAAAAATGAAAGGAAAAAAAGAGACTATAACTAAATTTTGGATAAAGTAGAAAGACATCCTCTGAGGTTTGTAAAAGAACACCAGATGAAAGTTTACCTATTTTTGGACCACCACACTCTTTATGAAATTTGCCATCCAATCAGAGCCTTAAAGCATGTGAAAAGTTTATTTTACCCTTCACTATTTTATTAATTTTAATTATAAAATATTAAAATACTTAAATAACCAAATTACCCTTTTCATCTCTCTCTCTATATAGATATATATATATACACACACAACCACACAATAGTCACCACCACTCCCAAGTTAGACCCGAAAGCTTCGGCCACGACACCACCTCCACACCTTCTAACCACTGGCCGTCGAACGGCTCACCATCTTCAACAACAAATCTTCTCTATCATTTATTCTAATTTTACCTCAAACCTCCACTGCACAGATTCGAAGTTCCCCAAATACTAAAAGGTAAATCTTCTCAAATCAGAACAAACCATTAATCTATAATGAGCAAAAATCAGATTAATACAATCAAAATCAAAAGAGAATCACTATATACAAAATATAAATAATAAGAAGACCAAAAAGAAAGAGAGAGATAGAAAACCTAACCTTGGAATAAGAACCAACCCAATATACTTTGCCCAATTCAAAGTCATGGAAGGTAAAATTCTCCGGTGGTGCCCTGAATGTAAAGCTCCTAGATATCTGTACTTTCCCAACATTGGATGAATCATTCTGAATCCTAAGCTTTGAATCAAAATCCTTCTCCATATCAACTGCTCCTCCTCTTTCACCCCCAACCACTGCCAACATTTCTCCCTCTATAATTCCCTAAAATTTTATAAATGTATATATATAGGTTTATATATATATATATATATATCACTCTCTTTCTCTCTCTTAAAAATAACACTAATTTAGAGTTGCAAGCCTTCATCCTCTGAATTCTTTCCCCTTGCTCGTCACCGTGATGAATCGATGATGATGATGTTGAGGGACGATGACGATGCGGCAGTGCGGGTGATGATATATGTGCGCGCGTGTCTATACAGATAATATATATATATATATATATATATATATATATATATATATATATATATATATATTACTTGTTTGAGAGAGGGGAAAGAGAAGAACAAGGATACATAAAATTTGAATTTATCATATGGGTTTTGTCTAATAACCCATTTAACTTATCTGATTCAAGAGTATTTAAGTAATTGTATTTGTCAATTTTATATCAAAGGCTAATAAAGTCAATTCATCATTATCAGAATGTCTTTGTTCATTTTTATCAAACTTGAGTGGTGTAATTGTTTAAAAGTAAGACAACTTTCATTTCATTTAGCTGTCCCTGTACCAAATTTTAGGAGTGTTGGTGTACTTTATTCTTTATTATTATTGTATTTTTATATATTTTAGTATTCATCGGGAAGAATCATGGACTTGACCGATCGGATAAAAAATTGGGTCGGGTTTCAACATTGGTCCAGTATCAGACGGCGCCCGTACCCCCACATTTCGAGTCTTTCTTCTTCCCTTCATTTTCAGTTCTGCGTGTGGTGTGCATCAACAGCTCTATTATAAGCACCTCTAGACCATCACTCTTCTCTCCAGTTCCTTCCATGAACTACACTCGCTGATCACAATTCACAAACTTTTATGACGTCAATTCAATTCAAACCTTACAATACAAAAACCACAAAATAGATTCTACAGTGCTCTTGTTGCTGTCAAATCGAATCGAACATTCTTCTCTGGTTTATTCAATCAAACCCTTTCAATGCTCGAAGCTCCATCGCTGCAATGCATTCTAAGACAAGGTTTCTTCTGGCATGTGGCCGGAAAATTCACACTATTTCGTCGAATCAAGGATTTACAACCGCAGATAATGATTTGTCTAGGTTACGCCGGAGGATTTTGATATCTAGCGGTGGGTTTTCAGGCCGAATTTTGTCGAATTTCGTACGATTGGGACACCGGAGCTTTTGTGGATATGCTGTTGAGCAGTTCTCGGATGACGAGTACGAATGTGACTACGATAACCACAAGGTGTTCGACAAAATGCTTTTCATCTGTTCTTTACAATATTTATTTTTTCTAACACTTGAAAGTCGAGGTGTGAATTTAGTTTCTTGAGAAAATGTTGAAAAAGAGAAGAAAAATTGGGTTTTTGGGTCATTGTGGTTGTTGCTGTTTCTGAATTACTCAGTTGAACTAAGCCAAATAATAGGATAATTCGGGTCTACTGGTTGGTTGCTGAGAAAGTGAGATTTTGAATGCTATGGTTTTGTTGTTTTGGGAAATGGGGTGTGAAAGATGTTGGTCCATTGATAAGGGTTTTGGTTTTTTTTTTTTTTGGAAATGGGAAGCTCAACGTAATTGAGTGAATCAATTGTTTTAGGTTCAGTTAAGGTTTTATGTTTTCTGGCGTTTCAGATGATGGAAACTTACAAAACAAGAGGATTATATCTATTTCTGTAATACATATTTTCCTATTCAGGGAATGAGATGAAAATAATCTATAGAAATTGAAATTGTAAAGGAGTTATTTGAATTTATGATGTTTGATGTGAGAGTGTCAGTGGGTTGTCTTTGAAACAAAGGGTTATAGCAACAAAATAAATAGATCAGGCATTCATAAACCCACGAAAGTTGCTTGGATCTTTTCACACCCTCACACACCCACACTAACGGACACATGCATTTATTTATGTCTGCAGATAATGTTACTTTATATATCTAAACATGTATCAGTTCTGAATTCAGATATTAGGATAAAATGTGGCAAAATTTTAACTTATAAGAGTATGTGACAATGGTAGGCGTCATCCTCCATTGCCAACATTGATGAGTGGAAATGGAAACTCAGCATGCTATTGCGCAATGAAAATGACCAAGAAATCGTGTCAAGAGATAAAAGAGACAGGAGAGACTATGAGCAAATTTCTAACCTTGCCAAAAGGATGGGGCTCTACTGGTAAGCACTCAATCAACATGCCTTTAAATTTATTGTGTCTGATCATTATTTAGATGATATGATGCACCTTACACACTGTTTATTCCATGTTCAGTGAACTGTATGGAAAAGTGGTAGTCGCGAGCAAGGTTCCTCTTCCCAACTACCGGCCAGATCTTGATGACAAGCGGCCTCAAAGGGAGGTAATAACTCCTGCCTTCCATTGCCTTTTCATTCTATGTCACCTGTAGGAATTTTGTCATTGTATGAAAATTCTGACACTTTTATCCTCCATTTGGCAGGTGGTTATTCCACTAAGCTTACAAAGGAGAGTAGAGGGTTTACTTCAGGAACACCTTGACAGAATGCAGTTAAGTTCTGAAAATGTTGGCAAGACTTCAGCTACTGATCCTGTAGAAGATGTAAATCCGGATGAAAATCCAGATTCTTTATTAGATAGGTCCGTTATGGAAAAAGTTCTTCAGAGGCAGAGCTTGCGAATGCGCAATATGCAGAGATCATGGCAGGTATGTTTTGCTATTATCTTTTTACGATGCTATTATGAATATTTATTAGTTGTCAGGCACATCTCTTAAACATTAGGTACATTAACTTTGCAGCTTTGACTTGTTTGGTGTTTTCACATTTTGACTATTTTTAGTCAATGTCAGATGATAGTTTTCTCCTTTACTAGATTCTAGTGCTATGTCATCTTGGCAAGTGTTAGGGGTTCTTGTCCGACATTAGATCCAGATGGAAAATGTCTTGGGTTTATAAGGGTGGGTATGCAACACTACCCAACAAATTAAGCTTTTGGGTTGGGTGGGCAAGCACCTGGCCCGTTACAAGTGGTATCAGAGCCCAGTCTTTGATCCGCAGTCACGCCAAGCACCCACCTAGGTGGCGTCTGGGTATAGGTTGTTAGTAGTTCTCGGGCCATTAGGGGGGAAAGGTAAGCAGGGTGGTCCGACCGCAACAAGGGCATTGCGAGTTCAAAAGGGTGGGTATGCAGCACTACCCCACTTAAGCTTTGGGTCGGATGGCAAACACCCAACCTGTTACAACAAGCGTCTAGTGTTTTCTTTCTTACTGGCCAATATTGAATGAAGTTGATTTGCACTCTGTCAATGCTACTCTTCTTGGGGTTATAAGATTCAAATACTACTATTCTACTCCTTATTGTGAATCTTCTCCTTTTTACCATTAATAAGATTCACATATGTCCCAAGATTGGGCCAAAGGTCATGGTGGCTCACTAACATTATTTTTTCATTCATAAATCACAGGGAAATTTGAATGTGGCTTGAAATTTAATATTGGGACTTGGGAGTGAGTCGGAGTGAGTCTTTGTTGGCCTGAAGACAATGAATTTTATACTTCAGAAATGCCATGGAAGCACTTTTAATCATATATTAGGCTGCTTAGATGAAAAGTTATTGCAGAAATGATGTGGAAGCCTTTTAAACATTGGATAGGTTTGATTAGAGGAAAAATCGAGACTTAACTGAACTGAATTTGTTGAAGAGAGATACAAGTGCCTATTTGGTATGACAACATTGTGAAAATCATATAGAAAAGAAGTAGTATAGTTTGGAATTTTAGTGAAAGGCTTTGATGGATAATGTGACTCGATCCAGAAACTTTTAATTAAAAGGACATACACACATCAAATCTTGGATCTACTCCCCTGGATGATTATACATACTCAAGAAAGACAACACTAGAAGTCGTAAAGAAGCATTTATTTTATTGGTCATAAAGGGGCCATTCTTTGCTGCACTGGTAAAATTCTGTGGTTGTTAAGTGTGAGAATGTGGGTTTGAATTGTAAGAGCATCCATTTTATGCAATTAATGCCAAATGTTAGGTTTGTATCTCGTCCACCTCCTAACATCTTGGTTAATAAGGACCACAGAGGGTAATGACCCTTATATAGCTTTCCAGTCATAAAAGTCTTATGACTTGTACTAGATGAGATATATGCTCCTTGTGGAGTTTGCACACAAGAATTTCACACAGTCATGAACTAGAAACATTCTGTAAAGGGATTAAATACCTGCTTCACACCTATCATGAAGCTTGTGGGAGTATTAGTGTGACAAAATGGCTTAGCAAGCCAATTTTATTTTTGAAGGCTTTATTCCATTCATTGACAGGTTTGAGTCATATTTAGTTTTGAAGGCCGTCTTCCATTCATGTCTAGGTCTAAGTCATTATTTGATGAGACATGTTATGCATATATATATGAGAAGATAGATCAGTCCCGTGTTAAGCAATCCACTAAATTTCTGGGTTGAGAAATGATATTTTCATAGTAACAAGTAAATGGATCTGCTCTCAGTGCACGCCATCCAACTCCTATCCCTTTCAAGTGCAAGTCCAAGAAGGCGGGCATTGCACAACTTTCTTGGATAATATACGCTTACTTAGGAACTCATCCACGTGGTGCTTTAGATTAACATGATCCACTGATTTCATTGTATTGTTTGGCAGAGTCAGACGTTGAGTTGCGGGATTAAGTGTTGTGCATCCTAGACATTGTGCAGGGGCAATTATTGACTAGGTAAATTTATCAGGAGGTACAAAAGAGAAATTGGCCAGCACCTCTTGGACCTCTATGGACACCAGAAATTATATATACTGATGGCTTTATTTTTTTGATACCTCAATATACACTGCACCTGTTTCCTCGGTCACGGTTTCAAATTGCTCTTTCAGAAAGCTAATTCAAACTTTTATTAGAATTAGCAACCTCGGACTTCTGTTTGCTGCACCTTTTTAGTAATCAGCTGGCTTAGGCCTTAAAATAATTCTATTCTCTTTGAATAACCAGTAATATCTATGGCCTGGTCACAGTGGTGTACATCTTGATCATAAAGTCAAGAAAAGCCAAGTAGAATGGGTGAATGCGTATAATACTCTTAGGCATTTGTCATGCAAAACATTGTCTGTGACTATCATATAGAATTGGAACTAGATGATGCCGAGGCAATGGTGGTCTTGGCCACCCGTGCAATTAAATTGAATGTCATGCTTCACATTCAATTTTAGCTTGCCATTTTGAGAGATCAGGTTAATCCTGCGACCTCTATCAATCATAACCTTGCACTACTTTTTGCCCCTCTTAACATGCTAAACATGATACATCTTCAATTTCGGCCTTTGTTGATGGAAGTGGTACTCAAACTCCATATCATCTAGCTCGCTACTCATTATTACTGTATTCTATGTGTTCACATTCAGATGCATCATCATCTTATTAAATAATGCTCTCCTAAATCCCTTTGTGGCAATGGTGTTGGAAATCTTTATGACCCTTGCCGCCATACCTGAAAAAAGTATTGATGCTGTCCTTTTCCTAAATGGAGGGTCACTTGTAGGAATGACATAATACTAATCATGTTCCACAAAGCCGTGGAAGCGTCATTTTTAAAAAATCTAATAATGACTTGGTTGTTAGTAAGCGATTATTTCTAGATCAAATAGCAATTCCCTTTCCCGTTGATATAACTCCCTTCTTCAGTAAGAGATTACTTCTAGATCAAATAGCAATTCCCTTTCCAGTTCATGTAACTCCCTTCTTCTTTCGATCAACAACGTGAGATGATTTTTGACCCACTTGGCTTATAGTTCTTCTCATGATAGAATTTTGTGCCACAAGGTTTACCCAATTCCATTTTTGCAAGCTGTTGTCTTCCTGGCTTGATTTAGGCCTCCTGACTAATGCTTAGCTTTGATTTAATCTTATCACTATAGTCATTTAAGTCTATTTGAATTTTCTTTACCACTACGGAATCTTAATCACATGTTTGTTCCCTTTCAGAACCTACTACGGCATGAAACTACTCATGGTGCCTTGGGGTGCTTATACATGAACTTGGATACGTGTGTTGGGTTGGTTGTGAACAAATCTAAGGGTTAGGTCTGAATTCTCTTTTGTTGTTGAAGTTGAGGTCCCGTCAGTGGTATATAAAGAATTTGTAAGTGTTCAGTCCAAGGAGGACTTGGCCCAAATGAAGGACGAGTGCAGCATCTCTCACTGAATCAAGACTTGAATAGGAGATCCGGGCTCCGGGACATAGCTAAAAATTCATATTTTTTAATATTTTCTTTTCATTATTTGGGTAAAATGATGTTTTTATGCAATATTAGTTGTTCAACTTGGAACACTTTACTCATCTGAAGCAAACATGAGATTAAAGAGGCATAAGAGATGTCAAATTGAATTCTAAAGTAAACTTGGATTATTATATACGTCTTGCTATCTAGACATTTACACACTTTTCATCCTCATAACGATTTTTTGTATATTTAATGCGTGCACTTCATGCTCATCGAAGAGTTTATGTAAGGATTGGTTCTTGATTAAATGCTCTGTGATCTCTAGAACGAGCCCTTTGTAGGTGCTAGCTTGCTGCACACTTCCTAATTTTCACCAATGTTTAAGCTTTCAAATGTTTGTTGTGATGTGTCAGCTTAGGATGCATAGAACTGCACAATGAGTGGTTTCCAACCACACAAAGAGGTTGTTGGCAGATAGGAAAGGCCAAGTTCCAAACCTGACGTTCCAAGGTGTTAAGCATCATCATTAGCACCGTCAATAGCAATATTTTGATTGAAGCCGTTGCCACTACCTTTGATTTCTTAATTGGATCTCACATCTCTCCAACCTTTTAGCAAAAATGTATCAATAAGAAATCTGCAATTTGAACAAAACAATGAAAGGTAAAACATTAAATAAGAAATACATAGGCAAAAATATAAGAATAAGTTTAATTTAAATCAGAGAGAGAACTATCGACACTAGCATCCATGACAAAGAACCTTACAACATTAAAGACCAAAGATTGACTCAAGTGCTGAAGTAGAGATAGTATTAAATTAGAAAAGAAGGAATCAATGGGCATTAAAACGAACAAGAAATACATGCATGGTAAACCAAATACAAAGAAACAATAACAATCTCAACAAAGGGAAAACATAATTTCTGGAATTTATGAATTGAAATATAGTGCGAGTATTATTGATTTTGCTCTCACCATATCTATGATATGAAGGATATTAGCATTATATTGATATACTTTATTTTATTTGGATTTTGTTTGATACTTACTAAGTTTTGGGTGTATTGGTGGATGCATTGGCAAATTAAAAAACAATGGCTTCAGCAAACTCCTTTTTTTTTTTTTTTTTTTTTTTTGGGCATTCCTTTATTTTATTTTTCAGAAATTCAATTTGGGGAGGCCATGATTTAGGACAAGAGAGTAGCCTTAAATAGCTAAGAACTAAAGAGTTCAGAGGCTGAAAGTCCAAAGAACTAGGGCTGAAAATTGGAGGTTTGATAGTAGAAATGTAGAAAAACAAAGGAGAAGTGAATAAGAGTTGCCTCTTGGCATCACACCAACAGGGTCAGAGAAACAAATTATGGTTCAAGAGAGAGAAAGGATTTGAAAATAAAAAAAAGCCTATTGGCATCACACCAATAGAAAATAAGAACCTAGAAGGCCTCATACCTAGAGAAGGCCTCACACCCTCATATCTTGTGAATCACTCACAAAGAAATCTCAAAGATATTTTTATTCATTCATTAACTTTTTTTTTTCCCCTAGTTGGTACTCACACACACATGCCTCCACTGAGGTTCGAACCCTTGACCTTCCTTTGGGAAGTAGGGGCTTGGTACCGCTAGGCCACAGGCCTGTTGGTATTCATTCATTAACTGCCTCACTAAGTTTACATCATACCCTTCTTATAGCAACTTATGACCCTGAGATTACCCCAAATTGAGGCAATCAATACTTGACTCTAACATAATAAAAGTAATCACCCCATAATTAGGGTAATCAATATTTGACTCTAGGATTACCCCATAATTGAGGCAATCAATTGACCCTTGGATTACCCCATAATGAAGGTAATAAATACTTACCTAATAGCATAATTAAAGTAACTAAAAGTTGACCAAATTTCCCAATTATTCAAACTCCATGTGGACCCATATTATCTAGCCTATGCCAGCTCGAATCTTCGAATCCTCCTTTTGGCTCCTTTTATACACCTTTACATATTTTTGCCATTGATCTCCATCAGTTCTCTCCGGCTTGGAAAAACTCGACTCCGACGAGTTTAAGGGATGAAATTGCTCATAAAGGTTGGGAGCTAGATATTGGAACTCACTATCAGCAATCAAAGTACAATAAAAAAAATGGGTGGTCCCTCCATGTAACAAGGAACTTTTGATAACCATGCTGAAAATTAGCTTGTGCTTTGTGACTGTCATTGCTTATTGCAATCTTCCTTTGAACTTCAGCATGAATATCTTGGATATGCTTACTTAAAGCATCAGTTTCAGCACTAGGTTGTTCCTCAATTGGTAAAGGTACTAAGTCAATTGGCTGCCTAGGATGTAAGCCTATCACAATCTCAAAGGGGTTGCTCCCAATGGTCCTGTTTACAGAACTGTTGTACGCAAATTCAGCAATAGGAAAAATCTGGTCCCAACTAGTAATATGGTCACCAACAAGAGAATGAAGCAAGTCACCCAAGATATGATTAATGACATAGGTTTGTCCATCAGTTTGTGGATGAGAAGAAGAAATTTCCAGCCTTGTATTCAGCAACTTTCATATTGTCCGCCAAAAATAACTCCAAATTTTTATATCTCGATCAAAAACAATGGTGTTGTGCCACCCATGAATCCGGACAACTTCTTGAAAAAGAAGTTTGGCAATGTGGACAGCAACGAAAGTCTTAGAATAATAGATGAAGTGCGCCACTTTCGAAAAATGATCCACAACAACGAATATGGCATCATGTCTTTGACTTGGTCTAGGCAACACAAAAACAAATTCATCTTCTGAGTCATCAACCTCGTTTTGACATCCACTTTGCTGCAACTGTGAAATAAAGTGAGTACAGAATACGCCTATTAATATAGTCATAAGCATATTGGTCGCAGAACTAAATGCTTGAGTTCAAGTCTCAAAAGAAGGTTGAACAACATCTTGTCCCCTGTCTAAATGCTTGAGTTCAAGTCTCACTCTTTTTTGTTGGGTCTTAGGGAGAGAATATAGATCTATGGAGGAGATTATTGTTTTTTTGGCCTCTTTGAAGGTCTAAGGCACCCTTTGGCCCTTGTTTACTTTGGGTTCCGCTTCCCTTTTGAGCGTTTTCAATAAAATCTTACTTATCAAATAAATAAATAAATAACATCTTGGCCCCCGTCCTACTAAACTCTCAAAATTATTATATTTATTCTTTTTGTGCTGTTAATTTCTTGGATTTATTAAAAGCCCTTTAATTGTCCAGAGTTGTGGAATTATAGTTCGACACTACGAAAATATTCGTTGGAGTTATTATTCTTGTTAAGTTGTCATAATCCATTTAACCCAAGCAAGATTTAGGGGTCTAGTTTTGAGATGTTTTCACTAGTTTTTGGCAACTCAGTTTGAGATTTGGGCTAGTCCATTGGGGCTTAGGTTCGCCTCATCCAAGTAAAGCTAATTGTTCCACGTATGCCTTGTCGTGATGCATGACCTACTGTGGGTATATCACAAGCTTATCATATTCGATTCAGGTTGGGTTAGATTGGAATTTTAACTAGGCTCATGTCATGATTTTAACTTCAAAAATTCACCTGGATTAGGTATACCAAAAAAGGAGTGTCACTAACTATTTGAATGTGGATAGGAATGGAGGAAAATTCATATGTAATTCACCTCCGAAGATTAGTGAAGAAAATATGGTGATTTGTTTATTAGAGATTAGAAGAATATCGATTGGATCCATTGACTGTGTTTTTACTTTCAGTTTTATCTTCTGTTCTAAACGATCCCCATGAGCTTCTAAGGATTTGGAGTTCAAGAAGGTCCAACAGTTTAAAATCACCTGCAATATGTGTACGAGTACATGAAATAAAGACAGACTTGATTAATACTATTTTTATTATTATTCTTTTCAATATAGATAATAATTGAGAGTCTTGGTGATTGCTTTTCTTCAATAACAAACCACTACTTAGTTGTGTAGTTTTTGCAGCTTGTGTTTGCTTCACTTGATATGCTTGCTTTTGAATTGAATGTGCCCTTTTATCCACAGGAATCACCTGAAGGCAAGAAGATGCTAGATTTCCGGAAATCTCTCCCTGCATTCAGTGAGAAGGAAAGGCTGCTTCAATCAATTGCACGGAATCAGGTTTCACTTAGGAATCACACCCTTTCCTATCAAGCTTTTCAGCCTTGCAAATGAACTTAATCTAGTATGGATATTTGTACTTCAGGGACTTCTTTTTTTTTTTTGGGCTTAGTACTTTCCTGACCTTTGTTTAATTTCCCCACTTATATAGGTTATGGTCCTGCTTGGAAGTTATGGCCTTTTTATTTTTCCTGGTGGGGAGTTCCTTGGGGTTTAATCTTCTGATTTGTTTTTGAGTGGTGAATTATGGGTTTTTGTGTGTGTGTGTGTGTGTGTGTTTGTTTGTGTGTGGGTGGGTGTGTCTGGAAGCGACAAGACTATTTCAAAGCTTGATCCAATTATGCCTGTTTAGATTTGGGTTAGAAGATCAATTTGTACTTTTCTTATAGCACACCGTCTTGCTTTGTGGATTGTTATTTCTTAAGTTGTTTCTACTAAGGCCATTGGGTAACTTACTTGATCCTATCCTTGCACATCTTCAAAAATCTTACCTTATCCAAAGAAGAAAACAATGGTTAGTTGTTTTTAGGTTCACTTCTACCTAGGGCTGTAAACGAGCCAAGTCGAATAGTGATGTGTTCGAGCTCGGGTCGGTCAGGCGGCAAAGGTGATTAAGCTCGGCTCGAGATCGGATTGAACCTTAAAAGTAATGTCCGAGCTCGGCCTGTCTATGTTTCGCGGAGCTTGAGCTCGGCTCAACAGCTCCATAAAATTGGTGGACGCTGAACAGTAAGAGAGGGAGAAATTTTTGACAGAGAAATGGAACAGACAGAAAGGATTAATCTGGCTCATAACCAACTTGGATGAAAGACACTGACGCCGATGCTGACACAACTGAGAGTTGATAGACATAGAGAACAAATCTTTACACTGCACAAAATTTTGAAGGAAGCCCCATAATCACTTTAAATGAAACCCCATATCCAGATTGAATAAAAAGGTGATTGAATGAAAGGCAAAAAATAAATTGTAATCTCAGTACCTGGAAATTCTTGAAAGAGGGAGATAGAGAGAGAAGTGAACAAAATGAATGGGCAATCACCGGTGGCCATCAGCGACGAAAGTGTCATAGACTCACTGCGGCTAGAGTTTGAATCGTTTAATTGTGTAAAGGCAGTGGAATCTAGAAAGTGATTAGGGTTAGATACACCCATGTATATATATATGATGGGCTTAAATTAGTAGGGGTTTTGTTCTTAAAAGGGACCAAATCATTTGGGTTGTGTTTTTTTTTTTTAACCCTGGGTTGGTCTTCATATATATGTAAGAGATTAAAAGTTATTTGGTTTGGGTTTGGCTTCATATATGTCTAAGAGATTAAAAGTTTTGAGGTTTTGTATGGGGCTGAATATATATATATATATATATATATATATATATATATATATATATATATATTCAATAATATATATACACTTATATATAACACCTTTTACCGAGCCTAAAATGAGATCTTAAATGAGTTTTTTCAAGAACGTGTTCATGAACAAATGAGTCGAGTATGGAGGTGTTTGAGCTTGGCTCGTTTAATAAACGAGCCTATAAATTTTGTTTGAGCTTGGTTCGTTTACTAAACAAATGTACATGAACCGACCTCTTAACGAGCCGAGCTCGAGCTGTTTGTCGAAAGCTTGGCTCCTTTGCAGCCCTACTTCTACCCACTACATCTTTAAGTATTTATTTAACAAACGAAGTGCATTCTCATTGTGCTATTTGAAAAAGATTTAACATAAGTGTACCTGTTTATTTTTTTTCAAACTCATTTATGGTTTGGATTTAGCACTGTTTAATTACTATTTGTGATTTTTAGGATTATTATGCACTGTCTAATAAGTAATACCAACTTCTATTAGAATTTTGGAAACATGCAATCTCTCTTTCTCTCTCTCACAATGAAAAGATAATCCTATAGCGCTTTATGGTAGAGTTTTAGCAGAAGCGTTGGTTGAGAAACTTGCCATGTTGTTACGGAATTGTTGCCGAAGGCAAAGACAACTGCAATTACCTTTTTAGTTGGTTAATGACAGCCCCAAAATATTTTGTGTTGTTAAAGTAATACGACACATACCTAATCTTCTTCTTTTTTTGGCAATCAATAGTAGTAAGTCATTGATTCTCAAAGTTACTCCCTAGGATCTTGTCTTCTACAAAGTCTACCCATGCCATTTGCTGACAGGAGGGCACACTGTTTATTTTGTAATTTTACAGGGAGCAGCTCATAATTTTTCCCTGTAAAGGAGATGGATTATGGTTCTCATCTTGTGATGTATTGACGATTGCTTGTATCATAACTTTCTGATAATGGTGGACACAACCCTAAGTACATATCCTGAAGTTTTGTGGCATGAAGGTCATATAAGTTATGTTGTTATCAGTAGTTTCAGTTGGAGGAGGATGGGTTCTCTTGGGGTTTTTCTGGGGTGTATGGGCCGGTTGATGATGGTGTGAGGGATGGGTTGTGGGAGGAGTTGAGTGGGGTGAAGGGGAGGTGGTCTCTTCCTTGGTGTGTTGCCGGTGATTTTAATGTGGTTAGGTCACCGGCAGAGTGATCTACAGGTGGTTCGTGGACTAAAGCTATGATGCATTTTTCTGATTTTATTGATGGTCATCAGCTTATTGATCTTCCTCTTGAGGGAGCTTCTTTTACTTGGTCCAACGGGAGGGAATAGCCAACTTTTTCTCGGCTTGATAGATTTCTGATTTCCGGTGACTGGGAGGAGAAGTTCCTGGATGTTGTTCTAGCTGTGCTTGCTAGGTTTACCTCGGACCATATCCCCTTGGTTTTGGATTGTGGAGGTTTGAGATCTCGTTGCACTCCTTTTAGATTTGAGAACATTTGGCTTCGAGCGGATAATTTCCAGGTTTCTTTGCTTTCTTGGTGGGAGGAGAACCCGGTGGTGGGTACGTCCAGTTTCATTCTTGCAAGCAAGCTTCGACCCCTGAAGAATAAGCTCAAAAGGTGGAATAAGGAGGAGTTTGGGAATTTGGAGTGGAGGAAGAATAGGGCTTTGGCTGATATTGCCGAGATCGATAGAATGGAAGGGGAGGGTGTTCTTTCTGAGTCTCATCGCATTAGGAGAGCAGCTTGTCAGGCAAAATGTGTAGAAATTGCTCTATTGGAGGAAATCTCGTGGCGCCAGAAATCTCGGGCCTTATGGCTCAAAGAGGGGGATCGTAATTCCAAGTTTTTTCATAGAACTGCTAATGCTCATAGGAGGGGCAACCATATTGGGCGACTGTGTGTGGATGGTACGGTCCTGTCTACAGAGGTTGAGGTGCGAAATGGTATTGTCTCTTTCTACCAAAGGCTTTATCGAGCCTCTTCGATGGAGGCCAAGGCTTGATGACCTTCATTTTGACTCTATTTCTATTTTGGAAAGGGATGGGCTGGAGGTTCCTTTTTCGGAGGAGGAGGTGTTGAAGGCTCTCAAGAGTTGTAATGGCGATAAGGCTCCAGGCCCCGATGGTTTTACTATGAAATTTTTGCTGGAAAGTTGGGAGGTGGTTAGGCTTGAGATTATGAGCACTTTTCATGAGTTTCATTCCACGGGGAGATTTGAGAAATCACTGAACGCATCCTTTATTGCCCTTATTCCTAAGAAGGGTGGTGCTTCTAATGTCAAGGATTTTAGACCAATTAGTCTGATTGGGTGTATCTATAAGATCATTGCAAAAGTCCTTGCGCTTAGGCTGAGGGAGGTGCTTGATGGAGTTGTTTCTGAGTCCCAAAATGCCTTTATTGGGGGTAGACAGATTCTGGACTCGGCTCTCATTACCAGTGAATGCGTGGATTCTAGACTTAGTAGTGGTGTTCCTGGTGTTCTTTGTAAGCTGGATATCGAAAAAGCCTACGATCATGTCAGTTGGAATTTCCTGTTGTATCTGTTGGAGAGGATGGGTTTTGGTGCGAAATGGAGGAAATGGATTACTACATGTGTTTCCACTGTCAGATTTTCGATTTTGGTTAATGGGTCTCCTACGGGATTCTTTGGTAGTTCTCGAGGTCTGAGGCAGGGGGACCTCTTTCCCCATTTTTGTTTATTATTGTTATGGAGGCCCTTAGTTGGTTGATGAGAAGGGATGTGGATTTGGGGTTTATTAGGGGTTTCAAGCTCGGCCCTGAATTGGTTCAGCAGATGGAGATTTCTCACCTTCTTTTTGCGGATGATACTATTGTTTTCTGTGAGGCAAAGGTGTCCCAGTTGCAGTATTTGAGATGTGTTTTGGTTTGTTTTCAGGCTGTCTCTGGTCTGAAAGTCAATGTGGGTAAAAGTGTGCTTGTCCCTGTGGGGGAGGTGCAGGATGTGGATTCTCTGGCTGCTGTTTTAGGCTGTGGGACGCAACGCTTCCCTATTTCTTATTTGGGTCTACCGCTGGGGGACTCGGCAAGGAGGGTGGGAAGTTGGGACTTGGTGATTGAGCGGGTCGAGAGAAGATTGGCTGGTTGGAAAAAGCAATATCTCTCCAAGGGTGGAAAAGTCACGTTTGGTGGAGTCTTTGGAAAGAGCGGAACAAAAGATCTTTTGATGGGAAGGAGTCCTCTATTGGAGAGCTGAAATTTTCTATTATTTGTACCCTTTTTTGTTGGGGTTGGGGGAGGGATTATTCTTCTTTAGAGGACATTGTGGACTTTTTGGGTTCTTTGAGTTCATAGATTCTTTTTGTGTATATCTCGGGACGCGTTCCCCTTTTGAACGCTTTCTAATACATTTTACTTATAAAAAAAAAAAAAAGTTTCAGTTGTAATGAGGGTGGGTCTTTTTCCTTTTTAAATTTGGAATTTCTATTTTTCTTATGTTCAGATCTTATAGGTTTTGGGATAAGGTATTAGTCCTTATTTTGGGTAAGTAAGCACTCACAGACCCAACTCACACGCATCCACTATTGCCCCTAAGGGGTCTTGATTCCTCAACCTTTCACTTGGAAGGAGGAGGGGATACCACTTGAGCCAAAAGATTTGATATGTTATTATGGGGGATAGCATTAATTTTGCATTACCTACAAAGAAGTTGTTACCTTCATAAATTTTTAGTTTCTAGTGTTTTGTTAAACCTATATATAGGTCTCTTGGGAAAAGTTTATGCACTTCTGAGATGATATTTTATTTTCACTGATAAATTATTGAAAGAGCATGCTCTCTCTCCCTCGGGTTTTGATCGCGAGGCTTGGAAATCTACTTCAACTCACCTTGTTTGTTTCCTTTTCCTTCTCCCTTCCTCCCTCCTCCCAATCGTTTTTGAGCCTTGAACACAAAAAATAACCCTCAGGAATTTCTTCTCTTCCCCCTCCTTTCTTCTAAATTTTCATCTTCTGATTATTGTGCTTTGGCACAGAACTTGTAATCCTTTAAGGAATTCTCTTATAGTTTTTTTTTTCTCTCTCTCTTTCTTTGCCTTCCCATTTTTCGCTCTTTCTTTACCTTCCCATTTATTTGTTTCTAAGAAGCGATGATATTTCCTCCAATATGCTCATCTCCGAAATGTGTTTGTTCCAATTTTCCTTTTAGGATTCAAGTTTTGAAATGAAATAGAAACTCACACTCGATGAACCCTTGTGTTTGAGCAGGTTAAACTACTTCAAAACCTAGGGATAAAATTTATCTTAAGCCACAGATTTTCAGAATTGGAAGGGGAAGAATCCTCATGGATTCAGGTGCATAAAATTGAAAATTAAGTACTGAAAATTTTAAGAGCTGAATTTTAAGTACTAAAGTGTTTAAGTGGTAATTAAAAATTAAATATTTTTATTGATATTTTTTTGAATTTTTAGCGTTCAGCGTTCAACATTTAGTGATAAGTGATGTCCTTGTCACTTAAAATTTTACCCCATTTTAAGTGCCGCTTATTGTTTTCAGCGATATTCAAATTGCGTTATCAAACACACTTAATTGAATAAGTGCTTAATTTATTCAGAATTAAGTGTTGAATTGAGTTATCAAACAACACCTTAGTCATTAAGGATATAATAGAGTCAAGTGTTGGATTAGTTGTATATCAAGTGGTCCTGGTTTAAAACTGAGATCTAGTCTATACTTGAGTTCTTTATACATTTTTGAAGTTTGAACCTTTATCTTTCGTAGAGATCAAAGCACATAAAAGCTCAATTGAAAGGAAGTTCTTCTTGGTATTACATTACATAGACCACATCCTTTATCAGAGTCTTGTCACATTTCTTTCAATTCATGTGGATTTTATTGACATCAAAATCGCACTCATTACTTCCCAGGGAACATACTCTCTCTCTCTTAATTGCACATCCCTTGTCTAACATTGAAATGGTAAACTCTCGGGCTTGGCCACTTTTTGAAAAATAATGCTAAAGGTTAGGAAAAAATATAGTTTACCATCTTAGCATCTGCATGGGTAAGACCAAAACTGGTATTGGTTATTCACCCATATCTAATGGTTTTTAACTCGGCCTGACAAGCTTATGAAGAACCATATGCAGTGTTCTTAAACCATATCTTAAAGGTAAGTTACTTTTAGAATGAGCTTAACTTATTAAACTAAGACTCTGTGTGGAGTGCTCACAGGAGGAGAACTAACAACATGTAACCCCTTCTGAAAATTCTGGTCTGATCTGAGTGCTACTTTTGAAGGCCTGCAACTGCCTTCCTACAAGTTATATGATTTCATTTCTTTGTAGTGCTTTTATTTTGTGCCATAATGCCCAGTGCTTGGACAACCTGAAGTGGCTGGGATTTAAGAAACCACTGGTTTGATCTGTGTATTATTTGCAAGGTGTGTACCTTTGTAGTGTAATTTCTGAAATGCTTACACGCATGCCTAAGTTTATATGTAGTTTTATGTATATTGTGAACCTCATGTCTTGTGAAATGATTATTTTTTCTGTTAATTTATGTAAATAAATTATCGACTTTCAAGTAAGCTGTATGTATGTTAATGTTTATTTCCAGCATTTCTAATCAGTTTTTACAATGATAGGTTGTAGTAATTTCCGGGGAGACTGGTTGTGGTAAGACCACCCAACTTCCTCAATATATATTGGAGTCAGAAATAGAATCTGGTCGTGGAGCATTCTGTAGCATAATTTGTACTCAGCCTCGAAGAATATCTGCCATGGCTGTTGCAGAAAGAGTGTCTACAGAGAGGGGAGAGCCTCTTGGGGAATCTGTGAGCCTGTTTCCGTGTTTCATTCATTTACTTTCTGTGTTTTTAATTAGTCATTGGAGCAATGGATTTCTTCTTTGCTGAAAACTAGTTTCAAATTCAGAACTTCTTTTTTCTAGGTTTTTTTCCTAGTTGGTACTCACACACACTTGTCTCTTCTGAGACTTGAACCTCTGACCTCCCTTTGGGAAGTAAGAGGCTGATACCGCTAGGCCACTGGCCCGTTTGTAACTTCTTTTTTCTAGTTGCCATTCAACAACAGAGATTTTTTGATAGGTTGGCTATAAAGTTCGATTGGAGGGTATGAAAGGGAAAAATACCCATCTGCTTTTTTGTACTAGTGGTATATTGCTTCGACGACTCTTGAGTGACCGCAACCTGAATGGTATTACGCATGTTTTTGTTGATGAAATTCATGAGAGAGGCATGAACGAAGGTGCAGTTTTAAATTGATTTACTTGAACATTTGGGCTTTTGTAGAGAATCATTCTGTTTCAATTATTAACATTTCTGCCTTTTCTCTTATCTACCAGACTTCTTATTGATTGTGTTGAAGGATCTTCTTCCACGACGTCAAGATTTGAGATTGATTTTAATGAGTGCTACTCTGAATGCTGAGCTATTTTCAAATTTTTTTGGAGGAGCACCAACAATTCATATTCCGGTAGGCTGAACTTGAGTTTGTCTTAGCTTACAAAGATTTTTGTGCACGTAAAAGAACTACATTTTTGATTGATAGGTTGGTCTTGGAGCTTAGCCTTCTCGTTGTAGCTTGTGTAATGTTCATAAAGAGCAAAACCTGCCCCATTTTGACCATTATTAAACTCCAGAGTTGCACAGGAGGAGATCTTGTGTTAGAGAGACTTGTACAACAAATAATTATAGCAAAGTCTTACTTTCGTGGATACCGTAGTTCAGTTTTCCGAAATTGAAGTCACATGTTTCATTGATTTCTGGAGGCCATCTCTCTATTCGAGTATTTCCATAATATGAATTTGTTTAAGCTTGAACTGGAGAGTTTGTTCATCTGATCACATTAAGAGGCCAGTGTCATGCATGCATGTCTCTCAACATTTTCTTAATGGGTATTACTGCTTTAAATGACTTAAGATAAGTATACACGTGTGGAACTCTGTACTTTGCTAGCAAAAGGAGGCTTATTCTTCTCAAAGTTTCCTCATTTATTCTTAGTCTTTTTTTATATATATATAAAAGTGGCTTATTCTTCTAAAAGTTTCCCCATTTATGCTAAGCGTGTTTTATACGAAATTCAGGGCTTTACTTACCCTGTGAGGGCACACTTTCTGGAAGATGTATTGGAAATCACTGGATATAAGTTGACTTCATTCAACCAAATTGATGATTATGGCCAAGAGAAGACATGGAAAACACAAAGACAGCTATTGCCACGGAAAAGGAAAAACCAGATCACTGCTCTTGTTGAGGTATCCCACTGTACTGAAAATTCAATAACCATTTGGAATTTGTTTCACAAGAAGTCACACTTTCATTGTTAGTCATTGCACTGCTTTCATGCATGAGCCTTACAAGATTTCATGAACCTTTTTTATGTTAATTTTATTTATTTTTCTTTCTTTTCTATATACTGTGTAGGTGGTTCAAGTTCCTTTTTTTTTTTTTCTTCTTTTTTTTTTCTTTTTCTTTCTTCTTTCTTTCTTTCTTTCTTTCTTTCCCGAACATCTTACTTTGGCAAAGCTTACTGATATTAAGTGTTTTAAAAGCTTTTTTTACAGGCAAATACCATTATTATTTTTTATTTATTAGGTTTATTTTGTAGCTTTCCTCCTAGACTAAATATTTTTATTAGATAATTGTTTGTACAATATAAGTATGAGGTGGAAGTTATCCCTTTCGAAAGCTCACCTAGACCAAGTAGAAGGTGATGAGGCGAGTTTTGCGCAACACTTGGCTGTTATGGGGTATTTCCTGCTTCATTCAAATTTGAAAACATGTGGCTCAGGGCTGATGATTTCAAAAGTTGGGGTTCAACACTGGTGGGGTGAATACATGGTGAGGGGAAACCCTAACTTTATTTTGTCCTACAAATCCCGTCAAATTTATTTTGTCAAATTTATTTCCTCTGATGTTTATCAAAACAAAATTCTGAATTAGAGAGCAAAACGGCAAAAAAAGATTCATTTAGCCGACCCAAATAATTGGGAAAAAGGCTTCATTGAGTTGGGTTTTGTTGTTCTACTCTTAACTAGTTGGCCAATAATATACAGCCAAAAGAAAAGGGAAAAAAAAATGAAAAGAACTAGCTGGTCAAGTGAGGTGCAGTTTGTCTTTTCAACACATTTCTTGCCTGCTGCCTAGCATGTTATGCCCGCCTCTACGGTCAGTAAGCGGCATATCCCCATTTGTTTTGAATCTGATGGCAACCCTCTTTTATTTATTGCAATTCGAAGTAGTGTTTTCTTCAGATTCTTGTGTTCTACTTTCTTGAAATTGTTCTTAATAAAGACCAGGAGGAGAAAAAATAGAAGAGGCTTTAGAGAATTTTCTTTTGTCAGCAGAAGGCTATAGATAGAACTTAGAATCTATTCTTGTAATTTTGAAGCTTTTTACAATAAATGAGATGTGATTAATTTATTTTTTTTCTTCTTTTTATTTTTCATAGGATGCTCTTGAAAAATCAAGTTTTGAGAATTATAGCTCAAGGGCACGTGATTCACTGTCATGTTGGACTCCTGACTGCATCGGATTTAATCTAATTGAGGCTGTTTTATGCCACATATGTCGGAAGGAAAGGCCTGGTGCTGTTTTAGTATTTATGACTGGCTGGGAGGATATCAGTTGCTTGAGGGATCAGCTTAAAGCTCATCCTCTCTTGGGAGACCCTAACAGGGTTCTACTGCTTACATGCCATGGTTCAATGGCAACATCTGAACAGGTATGTTTCTGTCTCCACTTCTCTGCTTGAAATTATTATTGTTATTATAGTTGTTTTGACAATGGGTAGGTTGGGTTGGAGTCAAATTCAATAATATAACACCATTTTGGCACCACAAATTAGCAAAAATACCTACTGACAACTTAAAGGTTGCAATAGAGATGTATGATAAGAACTGAAGTGTTGTGCAAACCCAATATGACAAGTTCGTTATAATTCTAAAAGGTAAATATGAGAGCCTAGGGTAGACACTTTCAGCCATGATATCACTCTCTCTCTCAACCTGGGGATTTTGTCAATTTCAGAATAGAATTAAAGTCTATTTTGTAATTATTTTCAAGGCAGTCAATAATTTTCTTCATTATTTTTGCATTGCTGATCTCTTTTCTCCCTTTCCCTCTCGATCTCCCCCTCGTAATCATGCATGGTTTTAAACTTTCTTTAATTTGCTTTTGTGATGTTATGGTCCGAATTTTGTTTCGGACCGGTCGCAACCCAAAACAGGAAAATTTGTTGACTTGTTTTTTGCCTGCGGGTCGTGGACCCTGTTTAGTACGCTCTTGTAGCCTGGTATGTAAGGGCGTTTAGGGTTTGGAGTGGGATAACAAGAGGCACTGAAAATCGCAGGAAAGAGAGTGAGAGTGAGAGTGAAAGCTAGGGTTTGGGGGCTGAAACTTGTAATCTCCTGATTTTCACATAGTGAAACCTATCGCTAGATTTTCACCATGGAGGTAAGCATAACTTGTGTTGAACCATGAGAACCTTTGTGTTCTTTTTGTGTGGCGTGTTCATTTTTCTGTTGTGATTTGTAATTTGCTCTTGGTTCGCTGCATTTGTCGTAACAGCTTTCATGCTTATGAGCAATGGATATTATACCACCACTATACTTCACCCATACTTGAGTACTTTTATTTCTGTTAACCATGAGAATATTTGAATTTTACTTATTGCCATTATTAGTCTCTCTCTACTCTATGAGAAAGATTCTTTACTTAATCATTGACTTTTTCACTTCTTCTCTCCCATACTTCTTTCTCTTCAGTTAAAGTTTTTTTTTTTTTTTTTATCACTATTACATTTCATTTCCACTGTTTTGGCTGCATATCATATTATTTAATACCTTAAATTGTAATATTCTTGCAGAAACTCATATTTGAGAAGCCACCTCCTAATGTGCGTAAAATTGTACTTGCCACAAATATGGCAGAAGCAAGTATTACGATCAATGATATAGTTTATGTGGTTGATTGTGGAAAAGCAAAGGAGACTACTTATGATGCTCTAAATAATACTCCTTGTTTATTGCCTTCTTGGATATCGCAAGCTTCAGCTCGGCAAGTAAGTTACTTCTATTACTCTTGGTTTGCTTCACTTAAACATGATTTTGTCTATATCCAAATCAACCACAATTATTGCATATGATGACCCAACATGCGTACGCAAGCAGGTTCTGGTGCTTTATACTCCTTCATAGCATGCAATTGAGCATATTATTTTTCATGCGGATGTGTGTTTATGGATTTGTATCTCTGTATGTTGGTCGAGGATCTTTGCTTGCATGAATTATTCAACATAGTCTGCAACTCTGCACGGTATCCCACCTTTTACATAATTTATAGGGTTTCATGGATCATCTGTTATTCACTTCTTTTTTATATCTTCATTTGTACCATCATTCGTCCTTCTTGCTCAATTGCACGCAATTATAGAATATAATTATATAAAGCAGCAGAACCTGCTTACGTAGACATGTTGGGTCATCATATTCAATAACTGTGCTTTGTTTGGACATATTCTTTTTTCATGCGGATTTCTGTGTATGGATATGCATTTCTGTATGTTGGTAGTGGGTGTTTGTTTGCATGAATTATTGGACATAGACGGCATGGCAGCCGACCTTCTACTTTATAGGGTTTCATGGATCATCTGTTATTTCTTCCTTTTTATATCTTTCTTTGTAGCATTAATGTCCTGCTGTTCATCTGTTATGCTAATTACCACATCTTGTTTTGTCTGTTATATTTGGGTTGCAGAGAAGAGGTAGGGCCGGTCGTGTGCAGCCAGGCGAGTGCTACCACCTTTACCCCAGATGTGTATATGAATCTTTTGCCGAATATCAACTTCCTGAACTTCTAAGAACTCCTTTGAACTCTCTGTGCCTGCAAATAAAAAGTTTGCAAGTTGGAAGTATAGGAGAATTCTTGTCATCAGCTCTGCAGCCACCTAAACCATTGGCTGTAAGTAGTTTTGGTTATATTTTAATTTTCCTTTTCAGTAATCTTTTTTTGAGGTCTACGATATATGTCACAAGCCGTAACTTGTGGTAGAGAATTTATATGGAACTGAGGTTTAATGTCAGCAATGGCTTATTATCTTTTTACAATTTGCTTGTCTGAATTTCTGGGAAATGCTCTGGTTGTATTTTGAATCAATATTTTGCGGAATCGCGACAGTAAATCCATATCTGAGCATATGTATGATATGTGAGATTTTATGGAATGCCTAAATTGCTACAACTGTTCCATATAAGCTATTATGAAAGAGATGATGTTATGCTTCTTGTAGGTAAACAATAATACTCAGATGTCCTGTTGGGGAAAGAATTATTGATTTATGTTCATGCAATTTGGTGAATTTTGGCAATTTTACTCTGTACAGTGTATATGCAAGCAATACATGACCTAAAAGTAGGCCAGGTTGTTGATTACAAGGAATGTTCAGCCTTGCTATATAATTTTGTTGTTTTATGCTCTCCAATTTAATAATAAGAATGGCATATGTGCTGCACATTCAACCACCATTGTGAATAATTTAGTGCAGTTGTTTCTTTCAAAGATTAGAACAACCAGTTCATGTTTAGGGCAAATTGGACAAGTGGCAAAAGTAACTGGATGCTTGCCATAATCTAAGAAGATTATATTGATGAAATGTTGATGAAATCCATCATTCTTCTATATTAGGATCTTAACATATCTGTTGGCAGCAGTGTTTTAATGTTGAAGAAGTGGCTCTAACATCTGTAGCTTTGTAGGCTGAAGAATTACACCACAAATTTCTTAGCATGGCTAATCATTGTTTACTTTAATATTGGGTAATCATTCTGTTCTAGCACCCTTTTCCAAATTTAGCTGATGTTCCAAGTCCATGTGTTAGCCAATACCTGAAAGTGACTTTCCGAAGACGAGTTCAACCACTCCTGATTCTTCAGATCTCTGAGCATCCTATTTTAGGTTCAACATAATAATTTGAACTCGACAAGCTGTAGATTTTAGTCACCCTTGTGTCAGAAACATACATATCAAAGTTTCATATATTGAAAACTATTATAATCATCATCGTTAAGAATATAAATGTTTAATAACATATGGGATTAACATGTCATGTGGTAATATGAATTATGGAATAGATTTCTAGCGATCATTACCCAGTACTGCTGCTTCCTACACTGGGTACTGGGAGTGGAAGTTGAAGTTGGAGACAAACTTAACACTTGACAATTTTTTCTTTTCTTTTTGGCACAAAGTGGCTGCTCTTGGAGTCAAACCCTGTCCTCACGCTCGTCAGCTTGAGCTTTTACCAGTTCACTAAGCAATGGCCTTATTTTACTTGAAAACTTGAGCTCCAATAATGACTTCTAAGCAAAACCGTGTAAATAAAAATCTAATCTAACTGACAGTGGATCGTAGATACAATTACGTAGATAGATCTTGCTGAATGCTTAAGTCTTTGATCCTGCATATGGGTTTAGGTGATATTGTAATTTGTTTCTCAAAAAAGTTTGTAAAAAAAAATCTATTCTAACTAATAGGATGTCGTAGATGCAGTTTTCATAGATATATCTGCCTATATGCACATAATTGAACTTTTGTGGTACTACAGGTTACATTCTACACAAGATAGTAGTCACGTATGACATAACTTTCACATCAGTAAAAACAGACAAACAGTGGTCTCTGTACTTCATGGCATCTTCAAAATTTTAAAATTCAGAGGCCTCCAATAACTTGCCCTTTTGAGAAAGTGCTGAGATATGATGAGGTTGCCCTTTTGGGTGCCAATTGTATGCACTCCCAAAAGTTGAACTCATGGAATGGGTAAATCAACTCTAAAGATGTGCAGAATCTGCTGATGCAAGGGGTCTCCAGACCCTCCCAAGACTCCAACAATCAGATGACTAATAGTCTAATAATGGTGTGCCCTTTAGCCCCTTTCCAACTTTTACATCCCTTTGTTGAATTTTAGTACGTATTTTAATTGCAGGTTTTCTCCCTTTCTTCTTCAGCTCCGCGTTATTCATTTCCGTTGGTCTATACCTTCCTAGATTTTTAACACTGGGATTCACTATTGGTTAATTTCAGTCTCATATTCCAGTGTATATTGTTTTCATTTTAAAGATGTGTCTCATTTTCTTTTCAAAGAAAATAATTTCTATTAATATGTAGGCTAAAAAATATTGTTGTTTTCTTTAGATTGCTTAATTGTCTGTAGTTATTATTAAACATGGTCCTCTGTGTGTGTGTGTGTGTCTGAAACATGCCTTCTGCACTCTATTGTGCATAATTTTGCTCCTTGCACAGGTAATATGAAACCTGAGGCTTGAGCTTAATAATATTATTGTTGATATTTGTCTCAAGAACTGATATCCTGAAGAACTATAGATCTACTTTATGTTGACATTTACATGCTATTTTCTGGTGCATTAGCTTCTTAATTTTGTTTCAAACATTTCTCTCTTTAAATGACTCATATTGCAAACTTCAACGTGTTACAGGTCCAAAATGCTGTTGATTTTTTGAAATTGATTGGAGCATTGGATGAGAACGAAAATCTTACACATCTTGGTCAGTCCATTTATGAGAGAATACATGTGTTAATGAATCACTTTCTTTTTATGTGCTGTTAGTCTAATAAATCTTTCTTTTTCTTCCATCCTCCATTTTTCAATCAGGAAAGTTTTTGTCGATGCTTCCAGTGGATCCCAAGCTAGGGAAAATGATCATAATGGGTGCCATCTTTCGTTGCTTTGATCCTGTTCTGACAATTGTTGCTGGCCTTAGTGTCAGGGATCCTTTCCTTTTGCCTCAAGATAAAAAGGATGTAAGTATGATAATCAACTTCCTACTTCTTCCTGTGCCTGTACGGGCTGTTTCATTCTTTTCAACTTAAATGTTGAGCATCGTTTCTAGTTTATCTATGGTGAAATTTTGTATGAGGCAGTAAGGAGAGTGCTCAGGAAAAAGAAAAAGGTAACAAGTTTGATTTTTGTCACATCTCTGCTTTTGTAGAAGAAATTACTGGAGAACCTTCTGCAAGATTTTGCATCAAAAAAGAAAAATAAAAGCTGACTAGAAGTCTTGAAGACCTGAAAAAAGTAATAATGATAATAAAAAAATTAAAAGTAACAAATCTATTGTTACTTTCATTTGACGTTCACCAGCTCGTCATGATCAATTTGAGATTATATGTGGGTTAATACTTCTCCATAGTTTTATCCAAAGTACCCTGTGGCACATTGTTACTATATTTCCATTCCTTACAAACTACTGACTTAGTGAGGCATGATGATCTTCGTTAACAACCATAAAAGTATATTTTGTAGCCTGGAAATCTGTTCTCTAGTAAAACAACAAGCTATTTTTTTCCTTTTTCCTCATGACTTGAGAAAATCCAACCCCAACCTGATATAGAAATGTAGTTGAACTGAACTACATGAATTTTGGATTTCGATAGTATTACAGTGATTGAGTAGCTGTTGATGAATATTGAGAAAGACAAGAAGAGAGGTGGACGTAGGATAGGATTTAGGTCAATCACATCTTTGGTAATCTGGTATGCTTATGCCTAATAATAAGTAACAGTTTACTATTTAAAGTTGTGCAAGAAGGAATATTTTTCTGGTGCCTGTTATTTCTATTTTGGAGTTATTATAACCCCATAAACAGCACAAATATTTGTTTACATCTGTTTGCTTTCAATTTATTTTCACAACCTTCTGCCATTTTAGTATTTATCAAAATGACAAATCTTACCCTCTCTTTTGGCCTAATAGATTTATACTCCAGCTTCACCTTTTTCTAGTTTGATCTTTAGCACAACTGTATGCTTTTATTTCCATTTCTCCCATTTGATTTAGTTGCCAGGTCACTTTTCTTTGTAACCTTCCAAGCCTCAACACGCCACCTTGCAAGTCCTTATTCCTCAAAAATCCTTTAAGCTTCTCGTTTGGCAAATCTAATAATTTGATTGGTCCTGTGACTTCACCATTTTTTTAGTAATTTTTTTTTTTCCCCATTCCTCTATCTAGTTTTTATTGAAGCAAGCAACATTTCACATCAACTCTTGCACTACCTGTCACCCTTACTCAGGTTACAAAATTTCATTGACAAGGATGAGATATCGATTTGATATCCAATGGCTTGTCAGCTTGAAGTGGATAATCAGAGTATCATTTTAGTTATTTCTCACATAATACATAGCGATGTCAATATCAGTTGAGCACCACATTTTTCTGCTAAATTGTTGGTGATAGTTTGAATTTTTTTATCCGTATTGTGATACTTCTGCACAAATTATGCATCTCTGGAAAGTAAGTAAAGAAGGTCAGCTGGAGGATATCAATCCTTGACTGTAGTGAAATGCATGCATCAGTCACAAGTGATCTACATACCGGTACTTGTTCTACCAGATACTGACACCATTTTTTGTAGGTTTCCCATGTAACAAATAAATTTATGATAGTAATTACGCTACTATATATTGACATTTCATATTATGCCAAATTATTTTGTGTTATTTTTTATATTATTTTAGAATTAAGATAATCTGATAAATTTTACAGGTATATACTTATATTTATATAAGCTTATATAATAGGGGAATGCTAAAAACCCCATTTTAAGGTTGACATGAGCAGTATCCCCAATTTTTTGTGGACTAAGAGGTCCCAAATATTCTTTGCCAGATAAGGCCACATTAAGGAGTGTGTTCCTCAGTTGAAAAAGTGGCTTTGAAGTACACGCTTCAATGGAAATTGGTGAGCTATTTGCCATTGTAGGCCATAATAAGGAAAGGAATGAGGAATGCCATTGTGAGCTATTCGTTGGAGAAAACCATGATTGTGGAGGAATGCCATTGTGAGCTATTGGTTGGAGAAAACCATGATTGTGGAGGAATGCCATTGTGAGCTATTGGTTGGAGAAAACCATGATTGTGGAGGAAGGTGTAGTTCTTCTTCCCCTATGCCACCTATTGGTACTAATGGAGGAGGATTGAAAAATCATTTTCATGAAGAGGAAGCTTGTCTAATTAAATGAAACAAGTGCCCTCATTATTGGTCGTCAACAAGAGAAGTCCAAAACTAACATGGGTCGAGATAGTTAAGAAAGATATGATAACAAGTGGTTTGACTGAGACTATGACCTTAGATAGAATGGAATGGGTAAGCTCAATTCATGTAGCTGGCCCCAAGTAGTTGGGAAAAAGCTTTTTTGAGTTGAGACGAGCGGTGTTTTTTTCCTGCCTAGTGCACTCATAAAAATGTTTGGGCTTTCAAGCATTAGAAGGCAAGTTTGAATCTTGAGAGTAGCCACTTTGTTGTAAGGTGCAGGTCAACAAAATAAGCAAAGAGCCTGCTTGATGTTCCCAAGTGTCACCATCCGCTCGAAATTCATTGCCCATGGATAAAGAAAAGCAGTTTCAACATCAGTACCCTGCCGGTTGGAGACCTTTCGCCGCCCTCTACATATTCAAATCCGCCGGCCACTCCTGCTGTCTTCTTTATTGTCTTTCTTCGCATTTCAGCTGTTTTGGCCCTGATTTGAAATAATGCCAAAGTTAGGTTTGTATCTAGTCCACCCCTGCCAGCACCTGCAATTATGGGGGGCCACGCTGGGTAATGACCCTTTAGGTAGGGAGATCTCTAATGCCACCCTTGCTTTAAGGATCATAGCATTTCCTATATCGTATTTTATAAAATGTATTAAGTATATCTTCAGAAGCATATAATAATCCTGGATAGGTGGTGGTGGAGAAAGTATTATTAGTTTATCAATTTATGAAAAGAATTTTTTTTGAATGGTTGAATGTGTTATATTATTGTATAATGATTTCGTATTTTAACGTATAATTGATGTGTATGTATAATATCTGACATGACACTCACTGCACCTTGTACATCAAGTATTATGTGGTCTGTGCATCTTTTTTGCAGTATTGTGACTAAAACTTGCTATGACCTATATCAATTTTTGCCAAAGTTTGACTTGGAGTTTCCATATTTTGCTGTTAATTTCCTGCATTTTTCACAACACTTCTTCTATTCTATATCTCCATCTATATCTTTATCGACTTTTCTGTATTATGGAACTTCAATATAACAGCTGATATCTTTAATTTATTCACTGCTGCCTCCACTTTTTGATTCTGAAGTTTTTGGTCATCTCTCAGTACTGGTCTTGTCTGCACAGGGTGCTGGGAGAATTAATACGACACAGACCTATCCTTTGGCAATATTATGCACAAAGTAGCTGCTCTCAGATTCTAAAATGAATGGCTAATTTGATCTGTTGTCATCGAATAGTTAAAATTTCCTCTTGGTAGACCTGGCTATGATACCGATTCAGCAGATTGAATTTGATCTGGAATGATGTTACCTGTGGAATTATAGTTGTATACTAAACTACAGATGCACTTGGATTTTTCCATTTCAATGACTCTGTTTTTGAGCTAAACGTTGGGTTCATTACTGTCGTTGTTGGTTGGAGGAAAATGTTAATTTTTACAAGAATAACATGTCTCCAGTTAATGGTCACAACAGTGTTGATGCCGTAACAATTGGGAATACTAGGCAAAGGTGAGTGCACATTCAAAACACCTTTGGGTTAGACCCTCCATAAAAATGAGGAGAGCAGAGTGATTAAAATATTACTTTTGATGATGTGTAAGTACACATACGGGTGATTCTGAATGATAAAATAAATGGGCACAAAATATTTTATGCTTCCATGGATACTTCATCTGCCAGTTAAATTGTAATGTTTGATTTATATTAACTTCCTCAGATATTAGGACAGGTATGTGTTAGATAAAATGCATGGCAGAGTGAACTATTCCACAATCATTTTGTGGGATTAGACAGTAAAGGCCTTAACGATCACCTCCTCCACAGATTCTGTTGATATGCTCGAGTTTTCTTCTTGAAGTGTGTAATAATACAATTTAATGGGCTTCCCATTTTTCTTCTCCATTGAAGAAACTGCATTAGGATAAACTCAAGTTCTCTATATTCTTGATCATAGAAAATCTGTCGGACAAGTCTTGTGGAGTCTATGATATCTGAATTGCAAGATTTGTGCAATTATTGTGGCATATGATCACAAGAAGCCTACCCATTTACTGCTTCTATTATTGTCCTTCTCATTTTGTACAATATGATAGTTCCAGTGCCAACACTAACAGTAATTAACCCCTGACAATGCAGGCATGTGTTCTCATGTGTTGAAAACAATTGCTGTGATGTAGACATGCGTGCCTTTTGTTCTCGTTATCTAAACACTTCTATTTCTTTTGATTCAGTTGGCAGGGACGGCGAAGTCCAGATTCTCTGCAAAGGACTACAGTGATCATATGGCTCTTGTCCGTGCATATGAAGGATGGAAAGATGCGGAAAGAGAAGGTTCTGGATATGAGTATTGCTGGAGGAATTTTCTCTCTGCCCAAACTCTTCAAGCTATCCATTCTCTTCGGAAACAGTTTAGCTTCATATTGAGAGATTCTGGATTACTAGATGCAGATGCTGGCTCTAACAATAGATTAAGTCACAACCAGTCATTGGTTCGTGCAACTATATGTTCTGGACTCTTTCCTGGCATAGCATCCGTAGTGGTAAGGTAACTCTACTTTAAAATGTTAATTATCTGAAAAATTCAAGTTTAGTTGACATGTCTCCTCTCTATATGTGCAGCACAGAGAGACATCCATGTCTTTCAAAACGATGGATGATGGCCAAGTCTTACTTTATGCGGTAAGTATTAAAGAGACATGCTTTATAAAGTCCTAGAAAATCAATAGACTAGAACAATATCTTATGTTTATGGGTATCTATTAATAGACACAAGTTTTGATATCCACCATGATCTGTGGAGGCTATCTTCTAGTTGGGGCATTAGAAATCCCCATGATGCCATTCCTTAGACCAAAACTAGGTCCCACCTCTTCCCGTAATGTCATTCATGGGTGAATCACTTTTACATATTCAAAAAAATAAAAAATAAAAAAAAAAAGTGACGCATGCATCATCCATTTGTATCAAACATTTGTATTTACTTGCATGCAGGTATATAAAATTCATACTTTTGTAGTGGGTTTGTTATGGTATCTTATTTGATTATAATATTTAAATGCACCTTACCATAATAACATGCTTTTTTCTTCATTATCTTCCCCAAAATAATTGGTCCATCTTAATGAGCATTTGTTGGATCGAGAAAGCTTTTAATCATTGTCATTGAAAATGTTTGTTATAAGAGTAAGGCTATGATGAGAGCTTCTCTCTGTGAGCTCTCTCATCTAGCCTTTGGATTGAGAGTTTCTCTTGATCCAACGGCTAAATGAGTGAGCTTAGGTGTGAGAAGACTTTACCTTTCCTGTAGTTATATAACTTCTTCTTTACTTTTTTTTTTCCTTTTTCTTCTGACAAGTGCTGTAGTTCTATAACTTTTCCTTAATGATAGTACAGCTATCTAATGCTTGTAATGATTCTGCTTCAGAATTCTGTTAATGCACGTTACCAGACAATTACCTATCCATGGTTGGTGTTTGGTGAAAAAGTAAAGGTCAATACTGTTTTCATACGTGATTCCACTGGTGTATCTGATTCAATTTTGATCCTTTTTGGTGGTTCTCTCAGCCATGGGATCATGGTAATCTTCTTCATTGATTGATACTTTCAAGTGTTTATTTTTTGTTAATGGTATTTGACTAAAAGCTGCGTAATTTACATTTTTTTTTTTTCCCCTTGAAGGCTGGGCATTTGAAAATGCTGGGAGGATATATTGATTTTTTCATGGATCCTAGCTTGACAGAATGCTACACAAAGCTCAAGGAGGAACTTAATACGCTTATCCAAAGGAAGGTGAGTTTGTTAATTGAAAACTGTGGGGGTATGATCTATAAAATGTATTACATACATATGCTTTAGCTTTCTTAGTTTTATGTTTTTAAGCATAACCTGCTCCAGTTTTGCTTTTCATAGTTTTGGTTCAATTTCTGAGCAAGGGAGACTTGAATATAAACATTTAGTGGATGGAAGGATCAGAATTTGACTATGCCTGAACTCAGAGACCAGAGTTGGTGTAGCCCAACTATCACACTATTCTACAATCGCGTGTAGAGAACTCAAGTTCAAGTTTGAGAGTAGCCACCTCATGCAAATAGTGCTAGAAGTTAAGTTGTACCTAATTTGCCCTTTTAAACAATCACAGATTGGTGTGACCAATAGTGCTAATGACCTTTTTTTATTTCTCCGAAAAACTCTTGAGAGAGAGAGAGAGAGAGGAAATAAGATAGGCTCAGTCATCCATCTCGCCACCTGATATGAAAAAGTCAACCTCCAAGCTTTCACAGTCATTAGCAGTTGCAAGAATCGAGGAATAAGCCTCCTAGTCAGACTAGGGCTGTGGGGGGACTCATTCTATTCTCTCCGAGGTCACCAAGGGAGGGAAGAATGTCTTCCTTGAAGTCCTATCACAAGAAACAAGGAGAAATTACTGAGGAGAAAATGTTATAAAAAATGGAGGGCATAAAATTTGATTTCCATGCCCATGAATGCTTGGGGTTTAGGGATTAGAGAAGGAAGTAGGGGGAGAAAGCTCAAAGCTCTTTGAAAATACCTTTTCTATGATTAATTTCATATTACATCCATAAGGCCTATCTATATAGGTTTCATAAAATCCTTATGACACTTAGACCTTATAAATTCTTACTACCCACTAAAATGAACTTTTATGACCTGAATTTTGTTCCTAATCACAGCAGCGTTAAACAAAACTACCCCTAAATTGTGAGATTTTATAAATACAACATATTCATCAGATTCTATTGTTGTAATTTAAGACTATTGATGTCAGTTCTATTGCCATATTATTTGCTTGTGGTTCTCATGTCAAGTGCCATTAGAGGTATGTAAGTATGCTGGGATCCTTTACGGTTAAAGACCCACAATTTTAAATCGATAGCCTTGTTGTCAGGGCTTATTTGTTATTACTTATATAATATTGGAGCTTATGTGTAATATCTAAAACTTGTTAGCGTAAATAGAATGTGGTGGAAGGAGGAAGTATTCTTTCATTCTTTCTCTCTTTCCCCATCTCTCTCTTTTTTTCCCTCATCTTCTTTCTTCTCTTTTTCTTCTTCTTCTTATACTTTACTCTTGATTTGATTATCTCTTAAAGTCGACATGGTATCAGAGCATGGTTTGTAAAGCTCTAGGTGTGTAGTTGAAACCCTAGGGCAAGTTTGTGTAAACCCTAGTAGGTGTGGAGGGTTTTAAAGAGATTCCAAGATGGGATTTGTTTGCAAGGAAGTAGTGTTCTGATTTGTTGCAGTGTTGATTGGTGTTTTATACGTGTTCACGTGGTTCTGCAACAATGGCTTTTTCTTAGTCGTTCGCGATTCTGGTATGGTCTACTTTGTTGTTTTCTATGGTTTGTGTAGTGACTGCGTGGTCGCTTTTTTATGCATATTAGAAGACAGTAATCTTTCTAGTTGAAGTTTGTGTGTTAGAGAGGTGGTTCTCTGCATATTTTGTTGCTACTTTTGTTTTTGAGGATTGTATACCCCATAAACTATTTGATAAAATGTATGGCTCAGAGGTGACTTCAAAAGAAGATAGGTCTTCTCCTACTCTGACTCCAGTATCGAGAGGTAGTGGTGATTACCATCCAGGCCTTTGTATTACGACTGTTAGGCTGGATGAGACAAACTATATGGAGTAGGCTCAATCTTCTCATATGCATATCATTGGTCGTAAGATGATTGACCATATCGAAGGGATTGTCACGTATCCCTCCAAAAGTGATCCTGAATTCAAATAGTGGAGTGCAAATAATGCACTAGTTATGACGTGGTTGTTGCAGTCAATGCAGCCACAGATCAACAAAGGGTTTTTGTTTGTGAAAACAACTAAAGAACTATGGATGGTTGTATGAACTCCAACAACAGATTTCAATATTCAAGCAAGAAGACCAAACTCTTGCTACATATTACCACACTCTACGTAGTAAATGGGAAGAGTTAGATCACTACTAAAACTACTTACCTGTGTGTACAACCGATGTTAAAGCATTTCATGCTATGGTAGAAATGAATCGAATCTATGAGCTCTTGGGTGGTCTGCATCCCAGATACGAGCATGCTAGGGTACAAGTGTTAGGCGGTATCTAGCCCCTACTTCTGTTAGAGATGTGTTTTTGTATATCCAGGCCGAGGAGAGTAGAATGAAGGCTATGTCTGCACTTGTATACAATAAGCCTGAGCCAAAAGTACAATTGTCTGAGAGGTTTGCTTTTGCCACACAACAATGGAACAAACCCAATCCTCCAAAAGGAGGGAAGCAGGATGACAAAAGCAAGTTAAGGTGTGATCACTGTAGGCGTACGCGCCACACTGGGGAAACATGTTGGAATCTACACAGTCGCCCTACTCCGGCTCTTGCTCATGCAAATGCTAGGCCAAGGCCTGGTCCATTTAGGGGGTCATCTACAGCACATACTGCAGAGCGTGAGATTGCTTCTCCTGGTCATGCCTCCTTAGGGCTACCGAGTTCTTTGTCCAGGGCTGAACTTGATGCTCTTCGACATCTACTAGCACAACATGCCTCCATTTCCACCTCTAACTTTGCTCAGACAGGTACCTATCATTCGGCACATCAGGTTTCCACATTATTTGGTGGGCCACCCTGGACCATTGATTCAGGAGCCACTGATCACATGACTAGTATGGCATTTGATTTTTTTTCATACAATTTATGTTCTGATAAAGATAAGGTTAGAGTAGCTGATGGCACCTTCACCTCCATTGCGGGGAAGGGTACTGTTTCTGCCTCTCCTAATCTTACCTTATCCTTTGTTCTTCATCTTCCAAAGTTTATCAATAACATCCTTTCTGTCAATCATATTACAATAGGCTTGAATTGTAGTGTAGCTTTTTTTCCATCTCACTGTGTGTTTCAGGACTTGGACACGGGGAAGACGATTGGAAAGGGGACGTGAGGACAATGGTTTGTATTTGCTGAACGCGAGGCCAACTTCTTATTATGTTGTAAATCAGTCTAGTTTTAGGAATGGTAATATCAATAAAGATCTATTAATGTGATGGCATAATAGAATAAGTCATTTACCTCTTCCTGTTTTGAAGCATGTGCTTCCCCAGTTTGCTTCAGTTGAATCTTTTGAGTTAAATTGTGAAACATGTGTTCTTGCCAAACAATGTCTTGTTCATTCTGATGTGTGGGGTCCTAAATCTACTACTTCATTACTTAGTTTTCGTTACTTTGTTGTGTTTATTGATGACTTTATCTTATGAAAACCAAATATGAAGTTCATTCCATTTTTAAAACCTTTCATAGGATGGTATGTTCTCAGTTTGGTTCTCCCCTCAAAATCCTTCGATCTGATAATGGAGGAGAGTTTATGTATGGTGGTCTTACCTCCTTTTTTGCTGATAATGGGATTGTCCATCAAACCTCCTGTGTTGATACACCACCACAGAACGGTGTAGCTGAAAGAAAACACCGTCATATTACGGAAGTTACCCGTTCTCTTCTAATTGGGATGGGAGTCCCTAAAAGTTATTAGGCTGATGCAACCTTAACAACTACATGCCTTATCAATCGCATGCCTTCTAAGGTTCTTGGCTATCAATCCCCCTTCTTTGTCTTGCACCATAACACTGCCTTGTTTACTATCCCTCCGAAAGTGTTTGGTTGTGTTTGTTATGTTCACAGTCATCATCGCAAGGACAAATCAGACCCTAAGGCAATCTGATGTGTCTTTCTTGGATACTCCGCCACTCAGAAAAGGTATCGGTGTTATAAGCCTGCCACTCGTCGTCGCTTTGTCTCCATGGATGTTTCATTCTTTGAGTTTGTTCCTTTTTTTTCCACAGCTCAGGATTCTCTACAGGGGGAGACTACTATACAGGTAGAGATTTTGTCGTCCATTCAGAGGGAATGCCCCCTTCCTTTGCCTGTTCCCATTCAGGGGGAGGTTCCGATTCAGTGGGAGCTTCTTAATGAGGTGTCCACGTCTAGTCCTCCTAACGCTAATGATTTGCAGCAGGAAACCAGCCAATTGTCTACACTACGAGGGCAAAACAAGTCATTGACTCACCCTAGGACCAAAAAGTCTCATCGATCCAGGTAATTCCTTTGTTAACATTGATACTCCTGATTCTTTTCCCAATAGCATTCTTGTTGATCTTGATGTCCCTATTGCCTATCGTAAGGGTGTTCGTAGTTGTACAAAACATCTCATGTCTCAGTTTGTATCCTATGATGCCTTATCTCCAACATATCGTGCTTTCATTTCGTGTATTTCCTTTGTATCTGTTCCTTCTAGTGTTTTAGATGCTCTCACTCAAACTCCGTGGAAGGAAGCTATGCTTGAAAATATGAAGGCCCTTGAGAAGAATGGTACTTGGGATATTGTTCCATTACCTAGGGGTAAGAAACCAGTAGGCTGCAAATGGGTCTACACAATAAGTATCATGTAGACAGAACAATTGAGAGATATAAAGCCCGGTCAGTTGCAAAAGGCTTCACTCAGACCTATGGGATTGATTATCTGGAAACATTTGCTCCAGTTGCCAAGATGAACTCTATACGTGTCCTTATTTCTTTGGCTGCTAATTTGAATTGGCCTTTACATCAGCTAGATGTAAAGAACGTTTTCCTTCATGGTGACTTGGAGGAAGAGGTGTATATGACTATGCCACCAAGTTTTAAGCTTGCCAATGGTCAAAATTTAGTGTGCAAGCTAAATAAAGCCTTGTATGGGTTAAACCAGTTGTCACGTGCTTGGTTTTAGAGGTTCAGCACTGCTGTGAAAATTGCAGGGTACACATAAAGTCAGGCAG